ATACCACCCAGCCAAATTCATCATTTATATAGATATATAGATTTCATTGCTCACACTCATTTATTGGGAAACAAGAAATATGATCGATTAGAAAAAATATTGAAATTAATTAAATAATAATTTAGCTAATTATGGTAAGTGAAACAATCGCATTTCTCAGTTATTCACATAAAACCTTTAATACAATAGATTTCTTTCACCACAAATTTTAAAATTTTTTAATTGATTGTATATTGATCCATATAACAGCGATCATTTTCCAATTACAATACCTATATTAAATTATGACACTAAAATAAATAGAAAAGCAAAATAGTGAATTAAATTGTTTATGTAACTTGGAAAGAATATGCAAAACAAACGAGTACAAATAGAGTTGTCAACTCTTTGATACCCGTACGAATTTGTTATCCTATGTGCGAATAAATATGCCATAGCTGACTAGGGAATAGACTATGACTTTAAGCTGCCTTATTACCATATTAAAATATGCAAAATTTCAGTACTGTGTTTACAATATTTTCTAAGATATGGCCAAACTACTATTGAAGTTGTCTGGCTGCTACCCGAACCAGTACCCGGATCATGTACAACTTAAATTGGGTTCTGGCACTTACTACAATAAATCATTTGTGAAAATTTAGTGAATTTAGCTCAATTAGTTTTTTAGTTATCGGACGGACGGACAGACAAAGCTAAATCGACTCAGAATTCGACGCTGATCAAAAACATATTCTTGAGTCTATATCTCAAACCATTATTTCTTACCCTTACAAATTTAAGCAAATTTAGTATACACTTCGAACATACGTTCGTAGGGGTATAAAGAATGTTCTGAGATAATGAGATAATAATGTTCTGAGCAAAACAAAAAATCTGATGTGGTCAGCACATAACCGACCGCATTGTGCATTGTCCTGTTAAGTTAAAGTGTTACAGAATATTATAAAAATGCCTGTTAATTACCTCTTTCCAATTTTTAGGACATTAGTAAGCTTATAGTTAACATACCTAGAAAAATGTAAATTTGGCTCTTAGTAGAGTTTCGCCTTGTGCCACCCGAATTCCCTGAAATGCTCGTCAGTTAGTTTCGGTAACAACCAGAACTTAAATATCAAATTTCAAGAAATTTTATCAATTAGTTCCGTAGATATAGCGAAAAATGTAAAATCGGCCCGCAAATCAGTTTTCAAGGCCTGATATTTCCAAAAAATTTATATATTCATTGTTTTAATACGAGCAATTCATATATTAAATTTCAATGAAATCGGTTGATTATTTCTCTTTATATACGCAAAAATGTATATTTGGCCCGTAGTAAACGTCCAGTTGCTGACACCTGATTTCTTCCAAAAGTAAAGAGGTTTCGCGGACGGTCGAGCTGAGCTTATATATGAAATTTCAAGTAAATCAGTTGAATATTTTCTTCAAAATGGTGAAAAATGTAAGATCGGCCCGCATATCAGTTTTCGAGCCCTGATATTTCCAAAAAATTTATATGTTCATTGTTTTAATACGAGCAATTCATATATTAAATTTCAATGAAATCGGTTGATTATTTCTCTTTATATACGCAAAAATGTATATTTGGCCCGTAGTAAACGTCTAGTTGCTGACGCCCGATTTCTTCCAAAAGTTAGGAAGTTTTGCGGCCGGTCGAGCGAAGCTTATATATGAAATTTCAAGCAAATCGGTTGAATAGTTTCTTCAAAATGGTCAAAAATGTAAAACAGGCCCGCATATCAGTTTTCGAGCCCTGATATTTCCAAAAAATTTATATGTTCATTGTTTTAATACGAGCAATTCATATATTAAATTTCAATGAAATCGGTTGATTATTTCTCTTTATATACGCAAAAATGTATATTTGGCCCGTAGTAAACGTCTAGTTGCTGACGCCCGATTTCTTCCAAAAGTTAGGAGGTTTTGCGGCCGGTCGAGCGAAGCTTATATATGAAATTTCAAGCAAATCGGTTGAATAGTTTCTTCAAAATGGCCAAAAATGTAAAACAGGCCCGCTAAAAAGTGCAGTTCCCGAGGCCTGATATATCCCAAAAGTTGATCAATCCGTGCCATGGTGGAAATAAACTTACATATAAAATTTCATAAAAATCGGTTCAGTAGAACTTGAGATACACGCGTGCACACACAGACCGACAGACCGACAGGTTGCTAAAAATAGTTTATTTACACTTCCCTACTATGGAGAAGTGCATTCCCACCGAAAACTCGATATGCAAAATTTGTTGCCATCACATAACCTACCTATTGTATACACAATACGGTCGGTAAAAAGTCTGCTTTTAGCAAATATATGGAGACTATAAATGTTAAAGATTTCAAAAGAGAAACAATAATAAATGAAGCTTTGAAATATTTGTCTATTGTATTAACTCCTTCAGAAAAATTATTTCAACAAATTGGACAAATTCAAAAACTTAGTGTTGAAAGATTTAAAATGTTTTTTAACGAAATGTGAAAATCAGCTCTATAGACAAAATATATTTATTTAAGTTTCATAACCGTATGTGGCTAAGAAATACTTTTCCCTTCCAAAAACAGGTAAAAATCCCAGAAAACTAACGTCCTCTTTCTATTTCTTATTTTCTCTATTTCTCTCATGCAAAATAATCACAATAATTATTTGTCACCTTATGTGCAACACATGATGATTATAAAATTATAAAAGCTTTATAATAATTATATAATTTAAATCAAATAATTACAAACTTACATCCTAACTTAAAATCTAATAAAATTTTAATAAACTTTATTTTATGTCGTATATTCGAGACTAAAATATATGGAGCTAAATTTATTCTTATTTAGTGTATTTTTTACTTCTAATTCTCCCATATGTTGACTGACATGGCGATTCAAATAAATGCGGAAAAAACTCAAAAATATATTTAGATTAAACTATAATTAAAATTTTTATTCGAAATTTGAATTTTTGATATGTTGTTCAAAACTCCAAATTTCATTTTAATGTGAAAATTTTTAGGAATTAGTCAACTTTTCATTTAAAAACCCCGAAATAAAATTAGGAAAAAATCATCTAAAAAAAAAAAGAAGAAAAATGATTCTTTAGAAATGTCATTTCGCCAAAACGACATATGTATGCAATTTTACAAATACATTCACAAAAAAAGCAGGGTCCAGGCCTTGACTTTTTGTAATGTTAAGGCTAATATCGAATTTGTAGTTTCGCATCTTTCTGTTGCCTAAGATATTTGAGTTTTAAGGTAGCTAATTCCAAAGCATATTGCACGATCAAAAACACCTATTTACGCAAATAAATATGTCAAAAAAATGTGACAATTTTGAAAAATGCTTCCGGCAGAATAACATTATGGACGCTTTTTGTGACAAATAGTGAGACCCGCGCCTAGTAGAATGGCAAAGTTGTCACCTCATTGAATTTTAAGTGCAACGCGTCTAGTAAAAGGGGTTGTTGCAAACACACTTATTCTTTAAAAACTTCTAAAACAAGGTGCTTCGTAATATGGTAATATTTAGGAGTCTTCAAGGTGAGTGAAGAAATATGGAACTGTGAAAGCAAGAAACAAAGGACGCATTTGAAGCAGCATGTGAATATTAAGGCTTCTAGGCTTGCAGAGGACAGAAAGACTGAAACGAATGAGATTTAGTGCTGAGAAAGCACTTCCTTGCTTTCACGAAATGTAAATATAAAAAATACGACAGAGCAAAACTAATGGTTAATCAGTTTGCCTAGTTTTTTGAAGTTTTGGTTTCTCAGGTGGATTCAAGTCCTCTACTATATATAAACCTGAAGACGATTTGCAATGGAGAAAAAATTTTTGCGTTGCACCCTAAGTTTTGTAACATTAGGAAACATATGCAAGATTATTAAATTTGAAAAAAATTATAATGTATTTCAAATTCAAATTTGAATTACATATGTATTTTTAATTTTGTAATTTTTGGTACATTTAGCTTTGGCAAAATTTTGACACCGTTTAAGATAAAAACTGAAATATTGTACACAAATTGCACAAAAATTAATCTTAGTGAAGGTTAATCTAACGTTCCGAAAAATAACCAAAAGTATATCGTTACCCTTAACTAAATTAATTAGCAATAAAATTCAAACTTAAGAGTCCAGGCAGACATGCAATTAATTTCGCAATAAATACTGATTGTAAAATTGTTGAGTGCACATCTAAGTACGAAATACAAAAAAGTATTGCAAAACCAAAAACTGTCCAAGCCCCTCTATAAAATTTATATAATAATTTCGTATAATTTTTATGAATAATATAATAATAAAAATAGATTGTGAAAAATATTTTAAATTTTTTGTTACATAACGCTCTCCACGTATGACATTTCAAACCACACCAGTCTATAGAAACGAGCTGTTAAGTGGAGTAGTTACGCAAATTTATTCTGGTAGATAAAATTTATTCTGGTAGATAAAATTTATTCTGGTTCACATTCTAATACGAAAAATAAACAGCAACACTAAGTATGTGTATTTAAACATGAAAAGTGATACGAAATTTGTTTCTGATATACCAGTATAATTAATTTATTTAAAAAATGTCAAAAATATCAAAAAAAATTTTATTAATCAAAAATCGTGGAAACCAAATTTTATTATGAATGAATTTGATTTTGACTATTTTAATTATTTTGAATTTGAATTTCGTTTTTAATTGGAATTGTCTATTTTCTCAACTTTTGGCTACAATAGCGAAATGTATATATTAATATACATTTAAATTAAATAAACGTTTAAATTGATAAGCTATTTTTTTTTATTTTATTTGCATAATAATAAACACATCATAGAATCTAATATAGACATAAATGGAGCTGAGTTTTTGAAAATTATTAAAAGGCTATTATTTGAATTGCTATCACTAATATATGTAGATATATATATACGTGTATGTACATGTAAAACAATTTAATATACTTGTAAACGGTACTTGCAAGCGTGCCAGGCTGTGCCTTTTTATTTTACAAATACTTACTTCCTCATCTCTGATGATGGTTATTCTGTGTTGCATTTTAGGTGCCAACTGACAACTTTCTTGTTCTAGATCATCAAGAGAAGCTCTTCTCAGTAGCTAAAGTTATAATTAGTATAATAGACTAAATTAACTTTACAATTAACGAATTAAACAAAAGCTTACTTTAGGTCTTGTCGTGCTGTTGGATCCACTGTCTATTGATTTTGAATTATGTGAAGTATGTGAAAATGACAATTTTCTAATAGGCGAAGGTCCATCCAATTCCAAATTTTCCAACATTTGAATCATGCTATGTCTTCTAGATAATGTTACTAAAGATTGTCTATGTTTTGTATGTCTACCTTTACCCATTCTCGTATCGATAGCTGCAAAGTGATTTTGTATTGCCATTCCTAATTCTGGAGCAAGATCCTCATCTAGCTGTATAGAAAAAATAAAGTTTAAATATAATTGTATAATAAATATTTATGCCGAATATGTCCATGTGTATGACAAAAACACAAGCGTGTTCAAATTTCTCTTTGCAAATATTTCATAATATTTTAAGAAGATTTGAAGACTTAAAGAAAACTTACTTTAATAACCCTTCAATATATGAATCTGTTATTTTTAAAATTTAAATTTGTTTTTGATTTTTAAATTAAAAAACAAATTTCATGAGCCAGCTATAAAATTTATACTAGAGGTTTGCGCTACATTTCTAACATTTCTTTATTGTAGATTAAATTTCCGAATGCACTTTATTGCAGCCAGTAATTTCCGAACGATCTATATTTTCAGTGTATGCAGTGTGAATTTTCGAACGTACAAGCTAGAACTATTCTAAAACTGAATAAACGAAAACTCCCTTTCACATAAAAGTGCAATGACAAAAGTGAAATTTTTAAACATAGCTTCCCATAAAACCAAATTCACGTGAGTATAATCTCTGGTTTTTACAACTCAAACCATATTCCTGAAGAAGGCGGAACACGTGAATTAGAAAATCGGCTCGCTCTTAATTTACTCACTTAAAAAATATATCATTCTGTTTATAAAGAAACCAAATTAGGTAAACTTTACTTACTAAAACCGTAGCGTTTTTGAACATAGTGTATCCATCACAGCCGCAGTACATGTAACTTTTGATGCAGGTCTTATACGTTTGACTTAAATTTATGGACTCATCAGCAACAAATACTAACGTCGGATCAATTCTTTTGAATGGTTTTTTTTTTGGATCAAATGCAAAAGAAATGCCAGCTACTTGTGGAAACCTTCCCTCAAGTTTTGGATATCCCGAAACAGAATTTTCTAATGCATCTAATAAACATTTCCCAGTTATTTCTAGCATAATCATATGATCGCGCATTGGTATAATATTAATTAAATCCTTCATTGTAAATGGACCAATTGGATGAATTTGGTCAGAACGAAATGTTCCTGAATTGATCATAACAACGTCAGCTCCAGTTGCAGATAATATGACATCACAAATCCAGTTACCCAAATTCGTTTCTCCTGTTCTAATGGCAGAAAATCGTCCGTCAAGCTCTACCGAGAAGTTTCCCAAGACGACATTCATTTTTGATTCTATTACCTCTGTTAAAAAAGAAAATGATTTTAAATGAAAACAATTAGTATGTATCTCAATTTGTATTTCTGAAATAATTTGAATTTTGTTAAAATTTTTAAATAAATTTTTTTCAAACAGAAAAAAATTTATTTACAGCTATAACAAAAGATGAGAATCAATGACGAATCAATGATAAAATTTCAATTCCCATGATAAATGAAAATCGATGGGTTAATATAGATTTGTGCTTGATTCCCCTCATTAAATTATATATATATATATGTATACATTCCAAAATAAAATATTTTTACATTTTGAATTGGTAAACGAGAAAAACCTCTATTATAACTCAATCAGGAATGCCAGCACAGCATTAAAATTTTTTTCGGATTGCTTCAAACGGGTCAACTTCGATATAATTTGTATGTTTTTTATTTGTTTTGATATAATTTGTAGTTTGAAAAAAAACACTGCACTGCCGTGATTACTCATTTTCCTCTTACGGTTTTTAAGAAAGTGTATAGAGTTGATATGAAAGAAAAAAATTCTCACCATCATTTTATGTTTTAAGCACTACCCTGGTAAGTACAAAGGCATCACATAGAGAGAGCCACTCTCATTTTCCTTTTTATGATTTAAAAAAAAATGAGTAGAGTTTATGTGAAAGAAAAAAATGTTCACCGTCCTTTCGTATGGACGGATTCCTTGTCTTGACGGAGAAGAAAAACCATGTTTTGGAAAAAAAACTTTGAAGTTTCAAGAAATTTAATACGAAATTATCCCGTTGGAGAAAAATAAAAAAGTAAAGAAGGGAAAAATCAGATTTTTTCCAAAGTTGGAATGTCAGGTATTTCAAAATACATAAAATACAAAGTCAAGTAACATGTTGCTTTCAAGCCCTTACTAAACCTTTCAAAACCTGTTTATTTGAAGCTTCTATCTTTTTTCGTGAAAATTGTTTAAAATCCATGTATCCGGAAACCGTTGAAATTTGAGTTCCAAACAGTTCCGAACAAAAATTTTACTCATTTTCTATGCCCTAAATGATGGTATATATTATGTCACTGATTACTGAATCAGCCTGTATACTTATTTCAAAAGTACCTATAAATTCAAAATGAAATATACAAGAACAGTTACGTTAAAATATTTAATCAAGAGTGCCGTTCAACAATTTCACAAAGTAGCCGATTTTCGAAAAAAGGTGCATTTGTAATAATAAAATACTCTCTACGCTTATTAATATTCTAATACTAATTACACTTAACTCGGTGCGGAATAGGAACATACGTTCGTACGGGTATGAAAATTCCGTAAAAATTATACTAAATTTGCCTTACCGTTTGTAACGCAAAGAAATAATGATCTGAGATGTAGACTCAAATGTATGTTTTTGATCAGCGTCGAACTCTGAGTCTTCCTAAATCTGTCTTCCCCTCCGCCCGTTCCAACGATAACTCAAAAAGTAATTAAGCTAAGTTCACCAAATTTTCACAAATTATTTATTATAGTAAATGCCAGAACCATATTTAAATTGGTTATGATCGAGGTATTGGTTCGGGTACCTACAACTTCCATAAAAGCTGTGGTATTGAAATTTAACACAAACGAATATACTAGTAGGGCCGATGTCATACAACTCGTATACAGTAATGTCATACAGTAGCTGCCATACAACTTCAAAAGTTATTTCTCTATATCTCAAAAACTATTAAAAATATGATTTTGAAATTTAACACAAGAGAATCTATTAATATGGCCAACTAGTTTGATAAAATTCGTTGAAATTACTTGGCTCTTTCTCGCAGCTGCCATACAACTTCAATAGTTGTTTGGAATAGAAAATATTTAATTGAAACACTTTACTGAAATTTTGCATTAATTAATATGGTAATATGACAACCAAAAGTCATAGTCTGTCCCATATTCAGCCATGACATATTTATTCGCACATAGGATAGCAAATTCGTACGGGTATCACAGAGTTGACACGGTTAACTCTATTTTTTCTCGTTTCATAATATAGTAATAATTATGGTCAATCTGCATTTGATACTTCATACATCTATCTAAAAGAAACACAACATATCTAACATTTGTTTACATTATAAATTTAAAGGTGAATATGGATGTAAAGGTGCAATAATTTTCAATTAAAATATATTTTAAAGTAGATATTTCACTACAAACCAAAAATCATGTACTGTTGGGTAACAACAACTATTCTGATTTCTATATTTTTTTATTATTATATTCACATTTATTTAAATTACAAAAATTGTTAAAGTTTTAATTTGGCAAAACTTAATATTAACGAATATGTATTTACAAACATTGTATTTAGTTAATGTAAATATTTTCCCATACATAACTTTCTCACAATATTTTAGTACGAGTCAAATTACATATATTTTGTTTGCTAATTTTACTTTAAGTAAATTTGAAACCTATATGACACATAATTTAGCATGAGAAAATTATGAATTTTATAAATGCATAAAATTCCTTTAAGCCTATTTCTGTGGGAAATAGTAAATTTTTAGACTATGTAACATTCGGGAGCTCAACCAAAAAATACAAAAAAATGTCACAAAATTTAAATCTGGATGAAACTGCTGCCAAACAGAAGGAGTAAGAAGAAGACATAAAGAAGTTACTGATTAACTTTCAGACAGATCCTTCAAGAAAGAAAGAAAACTGAATACCTAGCCGCTGTGCTAGACAAACTCAACAAACTATGAAAACAGTTTAATATCAACGACTTAATAATAAAAGAGTTTTGGAATGCTAACACTGATCACGCATATTTCAAAACTCAATACTATAACAAGGTAAAAAAACTCAAGGAAAACCTACAAGACCGACTCACAAGCACGGTACCAGCTCAAAGCGAATGTTGGACACTACAAAAGAATGCCATTTAATGTATACGGTTTACTATATGTAACATCCCCGTTAATTTTTAAATAAAACAACCAGTGTTACTTACTTAAATCGACTCGTACAACTGTACTGATCTTCTTTTATTTAATACTATTTTTTGATATATTTTTACTATTCCTCTTTGTTACATCTTAAATTTATATCTAGGTCAGTACTTACATAAAATTCTTATTATATTTACTTTACATTAACTTTCTTTCTGTTTGTTAGCTATTTTTAGGTCAATAATGTAATATGATTATGATCATATATTTTGGGTTATGATATTTGATATATTTATGTCATACTATTTTGGGTTATGGAAATGCTGTTGCATTGATTATTTTTGGATTTAAATTTACGACGGTACAATGCAATTAGAAATTGAAAATTTCCTTGAAACTAAATAAATTATATCTAAAGATTAAAATGTTATTAAGAAATTTTTAAGAGATTTAATGTTTTAGAACAATATTAAATGCATTACACTGACAATAAGCACTTTAAGCGACCAATTACAGTTTATGCATGAAAAAGTTCGCTATTAAAATCAGTATACATATGTATTTGGATTTTATAATACATGCGAATAAAACGCGTAAATGTATAATAAGTTATTATTAATATTACATAGGGCAGGGGTGGGGAACCTTTTCTCTATATAAGGCCAAATTTTAGTCAATGCAAAGTCAATCAGGCCGCAAAGTTTAAAAAAAGTCCAAAGGTTATAAATTTTTGCTTTGTGTAGGTTGATGAAAACAAAATTATGTCAGAATATAAAAAATAACATAAAACAGTTTATTTCATAAATAAAAATAGATAAGTAAGTATGTACATTATTAATAAAATAATATGGTTCATTATTTCAATGACTTTTCTGTGATTGTTTGTTGCTCGATAACAATTTTATATTTGGTTCCAGCCTCGTTGTCTTCAATCTTAGTTGGTCTTCCAAATGAGCGTTAGTTAATTGGGATCTCAAGCAGTATTTAATTTGCGTCATATGTGAAAATGTTGATTCACAGCAATAAGTTGTGCCGAAACAGGAGAGGATACGACGAGCATGTTCACGAAGTTTTGGGTAATCAACGGCATTCTTCCATATTTCAATTGGATTCTTCTTATCGTTTTATCAATATTCAAATATCAATATGTGTTTGTTTTCAAACAATAAATAAATTTTGAACTCAAACAAATGTGTGAAAGCATTTTTTTAAAATTATTGAAAAAGTTTACTAGCGTGGCATACAATTATTCTGAAAGAAGCCCGGACATAGGATTCAAATATTAATATGGGTTTGTTTTCAAACAAATATGTATGTAAATTTTGAATTCAAACGTTGTTAGAAATTTCATGGCTTTGAATTTTCCAATTTTTAGTTTTCAAATTTGAAAGTTTATGTCCACGGTTTATTTTTCTAAATGTTTGATTTGTTTTCGAAAATTTGGCAGCAAAATTTTAATTTTTAAGAAATATAAGAAATAAATTTTTTTAAGGACAAAGGCCACTAAAAAACAGTTAAAAGGCCGCACGCGGCCTTAAGGCCGCAGGTTCCCCATGCCTGACATAGGGTAATGCGTATAGGATACGATTTCTATGCAAAAAGTCTGAGCTTCGGCCACTGTGGTTACCAGAGTCACAATAAGGGCCAAGCAGAGACAGTCGAGTTATGAGAAAGTTGCGGGAAGCGTCAGGATTGGGGTCCTTGACGAGAGCTTCCCAGACGTCCTGCTGGAAAACAATCAGATGCTCCTCATTCAAGAAGAAATAATGGAGCGCATCTTTAAACAAAGAGATCGAAGCATGAAACCACAGTTTCTGGAAAGTTCGTTCCGGATAAGGTGGCTTCCGCTAGTCTGCCAGTACCAAGGTACTAGAGACTGGCTCAAAGCAGAGATCCGTAGCATAGCTCCCTGGGAAGAAGCAAAACCGAAGGCGGTAGAGGAGGAGGACATACCAAGGGCTAAGGTTTTTAGAGGTTTCTTTCCCCATACAGCCGAAACATCGGCTGAGAAAGTCCTAGGCTACGAGGGAGGTCGGAACTCTGGGCTGCGGACGGACCAGTGGAGGATCATTGGGAAGGACGCAGTCGGGAGTGGAGCC